ACGCAGAAGATTCATAATCTAGAGGTCCCAGGTTTGAATTCCACTAATTAAGGTGCGTCTTTTAATACCAATTTAAAGTAGTTAGTTTCAAGGACACTGTAAATTATTTACATTACCGTAAATGTCTTAGAAATAAAATTTGTAAGCCTTAAATATGAATGTTTTTTTTTTCGAATATTAAACTAGTGTTAACACGTGTGCGAGCGATATGAGTCTCAAATGAAAACACATCGCAAGATGTAGAGCTGCAAGAACTGCTTGATGAAAATCCAGCTCAAACGCTTTTAGAGTTGTCGAAAGAGTTAAATGTTACTCCAAAGGCCGTCTCAAAACGCTTGCATGCCATGGAAAAGATTCATAAGGAAGGGATATGACCACCACATGAGTTGTCAGAAAATGTCATTTTGAATCGTTTGTCTATTGCGACTTCTTTGCTTGCCAGGTAAAGAAAAAACAGTTTTTTATGGCTCATCATGACTGGCGATGAAAAATGGATTTATTTTGATAATCCCGCGGAAAAAATCATGGGTGGATCCCGGCCAACTATCCACTTCAATGCCGAAGAGGAATATTCACGGGCATAAGACCTTGCTGTGCGTTTGGTGGGACCAGAAGGGTGTGCTGTATTACGAACACTTGCGTTTAAATGAAACCGTTACAGCTGATCGCTACCAACAGCAATTATGCCGACTGAGTGACGAATTCATGCAAAAAAGATCATCCGTAGCCAACAATCGACGCAAAGTCATTTTGTTGCATTATAACGCTCGACCGCATGTTGCGAAAAGCATGAAGCAAACACTTTTACAACTTGAATGGGAAATCCTCCCGCATCCAGCGTACTCTCCAGACTTGGCACCGTCGAATTACCATCTCTTTCGATCGATGCAACACGCACTTACGGACACACACTTCTGCAGTTACAAAGAAGTCCAAAAATGGGTGGATGAATTGATCGCCTCGAAAGACACCGCGTTTTACCGTCGTGGGATTGCCCTGTTGCCGGAGAGATGGGAAAAAGTAGTCGAAAATGGACAAAATTAGTTTGATGAAGGTATTCATTGATCTTCCTTCAAAATAAATCAATTTTGGAGACAAAAAAACCGCAGAAATTAAGTTCAACACCTAATATTTTGAATCGCTTGTATGCAATACATACTAACAATTGCAAAAGCTTTATATAAAAAGCTTTTTATAAATTAGTTTTAATTTTATATGTCAAAAAGTATTGTCTTTACTTCGTACAACATTGATAGTGTAATTAATAAATTTCAAAAATTCGATCCGAGAACACAAATATGGACTAATGCTATAGTATATTTTGTAATCCTATCTCCATAAGTGAGAGATAGACTAGCAATAGCTTTATAAATTATTTCTAATCCAATTTTGGCACATAAAATTAAAAATAATTTATAAAACTTTTGCAATTGCTAGTATGTATACAAGTGATCTAAAATATATTTCAAAAATAATACAATTGCTGTTTTATGTCTTAATTTCTTACACGATCATTCGATGATCATTTGTTCGGATGTTCGAACTTCCATGAGCGGTAGTGTAGAAAAATGCAGAAAAATATCATTCTAATGCTAAGAGAGAACGCAATTTTTATTCTTCTTCATTTGAGTAACGATTACATATAATTACTGTTAGATATGCGATTGGTCCAGCGTATCAGTTAAATAAGCGCGCGATAGCGCTACGTATTTGGAGCACGCACAACGGCTCCGCGAATAACGTTTTATAAGTTAGCGGAACAAAGTGAGCGGAATCGATTCAAACCAACATTTTTATTTGTTGCTCATTTGTTGCTAAAAAGTTGCCAAAGAAAAAAATTTGTTGCTCTGTCGGTTTATGTAAAAAATGATGTTTCGCTAAAGGAAGATTAAGTTAGCGGAACAATATACCTATAACAAAGACAACCTACGCAAAATTAACGTAGGAATTTGTTTGTTGCTAATATGTGCTAATTTGTTGCTCACAAAATATCATTATTTTGAATATATTATATAGTAAAAAAGTGCAAATAACAACGAGAAGCCTCAACGTGCTGGCGGAACAAGAGTAAACTATTAGTAAAAGAATTGTTGCTCGCTTAAAATTGGTACTGAGATGTCGTCTGAATTTGTTGCCCTCGAAATATGCAATTTACGAATTTGTTGCTTGCAAAATAAGTTTAAATAGTCACGAAAAACCTCAGCATACTAGCGAAACAAGGGTAAAGTACCAGTAAAAGATTTGTTGCTCGCTTAAATTTGGTACTGGGATGTCGTCTGAATTTGTTGCTCTCGGAATATGCAATTTACGAATTTGTTGCTTGCAAAATAAGTATAAATATTCACGAAAAACCTCAGCGTACTAGCGAAACAACAAATCTTTTACTGGTACTTTACTCTTGTTCCGCTAGTATGCTGAGGTTTTTTGTGATTATTTATATTTATTTTGCAAGCAACAAATTCGTAAATTGCATATTCCGAGAGCAACAAATTCAAACGACATCCCAGTACCAAATTTAAGCGAGCAACAAATCTTTTATTGGTACTTTACTCTTGTTCCGCTAGTACGCTGAGGTTTTTCGTGATTATTTATACTCATTTTGCAAGCAACAATTTCATAAATTGCATATTTCAAGAGCAACAAATTCAGACGACATCCCAGTACCAAATTTAAGCGAGCAACAAATCTTTTATTGGTACTTTACTCTTGTTCCGCTAGTACGCTGAGGTTTTTCGTGATTATTTATACTCATTTTGCAAACAACAAATTCGTAAATTGCGTATTTCAAGAGCAACAAATACAGACGACATCCCAGTACCAAATTTAAGCGAGCAACAAATCTTTTATTGGTACTTTACTCTTGTTCCGCTAGTATGTTGAGGTTTTTCGTGATTATTTATACTCATTTTGCAAGCAACAATTTCATAAATTGCATATTTCGAGAGCAACAAATTCAGACGACATCCCAGTACCAAATTTAAGCGAGCAACAAATCTTTTACTGGTACTTTACTCTTGTTCCGCTAGTATGTTGAGGTTTTTCGTGATTATTTATACTCATTTTGCAAGCAACAATTTCATAAATTGCATATTTCGAGAGCAACAAATTCAGACGACATCCCAGTACCAAATTTAAGCGAGCAACAAATCTTTTACTGGTACTTTACTCTTGTTCCGCTAGTATGTTGAGGTTTTTCGTGATTATTTATACTCATTTTGCAAGCAACAATTTCATAAATTGCATATTTCGAGAGCAACAAATTCAGACGACATCCCAGTACCAAATTTAAGCGAGCAACAAATCTTTTATTGGTACTTTACTCTTGTTCCGCTAGTACGCTGAGGTTTTTCGTGACTATTTATATTTATTTTGCAAGTAACAAATTCGTAAATTGCATATTTCAAGAGCAACAAATTCAGACAACATCCCAGTACCAAATTTAAGCGAGCAACAAATTTTTTACTGGTACTTTACTCTTGTTCCGCTAGTGCGCTGAGGTTTTTCGTGACTATTTATACTTATTTTGCAAGCAACAATTTCATAAATTGCATATTTCGAGAGCAACAAATTCAGACATCCCAGTACCAAATTTAAGCGAGCAACAAATCTTTTATTGGTACTTTACTCTTGTTCCGCTAGTGCGCTGAGGTTTTTCGTGACTATTTATATTTATTTTGCAAGCAACAAATTCGTAAATTGCATATTTCGAGAGCAACAAATTCAGGCAACATCCCAGTACCAAATTTAAGCGAGCAACAAATCTTTTACTAATAGTTTACTCTTGTTCCGCCAGCACGTTGAGGCTTCTCATTGTTATTTACACTTTTTTCCTGTGTAATATATTCAAAATAATGATATTTTGTGAGCAACAAATTAGCAACAAATTATCAACAAATTCCTACGTTAATTTTGCGTAGGTTGGCTTTGTTATAGGTATATTGTTTCGCTAACTTAATCTTCCTTTAGCGAAACATCATTTTTTAAATAAACCGTCAGAGCATCAAATTTTTTCTTTGGCAACTTTTTAGCAACAAATGAGCAAGAAATATAAATGTTGGTTTAAATCGATTCCGCTCACTTTGTTCCGCTAACTTATAAGACGTCCGCGAATAGGCGTGCGACACGCGCGTACCTTCGCGAGACAATAGGTTTCGCGAGTCATGAAGCGAGGAGAGGAAAAAGAATCACGAGCGACGCACTTGAGATCGGACCGTTGTGTCTCGCGCACTGTCTAAGCTGTATCGAAATCTATATATAATATATATTGTAGTAAATTCATTAGCAATCTACACTGCTTTCTTTTTTTGATGACTTCTAAATACACAACAATTTTGCGACGAAGATGGGATTATCGTAATTCGAGCAGCGAAAAATAAGTTTTTGTGTGGCGGACCCAGTACGTGACCAACATGTGCTTGTGTACGAAGCGTACTACAAGGGCAACGGCAAAGTTGTTGGTATAAATTATTGGCTACGATACTGAGGGACGCATGTTACAGCCGATTACGCAACCGGTTATATCCGGGTCTCTTACGATCGAGGCATTCGATCCGGTGAACACCGCGTGGAGGAGATAGCTTCAGCGTCTTCAAGGAGCTTTCCTGATTTTCGGAATTAAGGAGCAAGCAAGGGTCCCGTATCTGTTGCACTACGTGGAACTCGCAGCGTTTGATATGTTGAGTGATAGATTGGAATCGGTTGATCCTTTCACGGGTCAGTACGACAGTCTAGTACACATGCTCCAGGAATACTATGCGCCAGCTCCGCTGGAAATTGCAGAGAATTTCACGTTTCACCAACGGAAATAGCAAGAGGGTGAGTCCGTACAGCAATACATTGTCGCGTAATGGAAACTTAGCATACATTGTAAATTCGAAAATCACCTCAACACTGAATTGCGGAATCAACTGGTCTTCGGACTGCGTAACAAGAAGGCGCACAATCGTTTGTTGGAAAGGACCGACCTTGATTTTGAAGAGACTGTTCGAGTTGCGGTTACGATGGAACTCTCCGAAAAAGGTACAGCGCAAATAAAGGACAAGAGTACGGAACTCGTCAGTGTGGATCACCTTAAAGCAGGAAAGAAACCTTCGAGGAAAAATGCAGGTGATAAACGGCCAAAGCATGTGCTAAATACGATAATTCTAGTCAAACTAACGGTCGTGTTAAACAATACAAGCATTCTAATGTAAAGTGTCATAGGTGCAGAAAAGGCCATTTGGCCAATACATGTACTTTAGATAGAAATATCCGTTGCCATGGCTGTGGAAAACTGGATCACTTACGTGTGGTCTGTTTCAAGAATACGTCCTCCACTAATAATTTAGAAGAAATGCTCAGTTTGGAGCTCGCAGATTACCGTGACAAGTTCCTGATGTCTTTAAATATCGAAGGAAAAACAATTTGAGTTGGATAGTGGAGCGGCGGTTACGGTAATGAGTGAGTCTGAAGCGATCAAACTTTTCCCAACAGCGACCATTTGTCATACAAAATTACGTTTAATTTCGTTTTGCGGTCGTGCACTTAAATACAAAGGATACATTACAGTTAGCGTTAAGTATCTCTCAAATGTAAAAAAATTGAATATTTATTTAGTCAGTGGGGTTAGAAAACCATTGCTGGGACGCGAATGGATTGGGCAACTAAAGTGTCATGAATTTCTGATCTGCGATGCCGAAGTAGAGAACGTAACATCAATGTACAAAGTGAATTGCAAACAATATTAGATAGGTATCGGAACATTTGTTCTTCAGAATTTGCTGCAATTAAAGACATACAGATACAATTGAAATTAAAGAAGGACGCATCTCCGGTCTTCGTAGAAGCTCGTCCTGTCTCTTTTAAATTACAAATGTTAATCCAAAAAGAGCTTGATACATTAGAAAAAGCAGGTATAATTGAGAAAATCGAGTCGTGTAAATGGGCTACACCAATAGTTCCAATTTTGAAAAAGGATGGCAAAATACGTATTTGCGGGGACTACAAAGCTACACTTAATCCGTATTTAATAGTCGACGAGTACCCTTTTCTTACAGTTGACGAGTTGTTTTTGAAACTTAGAAACGGAAAAAAAATTTCGAAAATTGACTTGAAACAAGCATACCTGCAATTAAAAATAGCACCGGAAAATCGCAAGCTATTAACTATCAGTACATTCAAAGGACTATACAAAGTAAATCGTATGATGTACGGGATTGCACCGGGTCCTCGTGAACCCGTGAACTATTAACTTTTTGATCATCACTTGGTGTAGAGAAAACTCATCGTTGCTTTAAAAAAATATGTAAAATGGATAATTTTCTAAATAAGCAACAATGTGTATTTTCTTTCCACCTTAGTTTACGAGTTATTTAACATTTTATGTCAATATGTGCCAGAATAAAATGTAAAATATCTCGTAAACTAGTGATTTTTTGGTATCACTATCTTAATACTTTTACATACAGAATAATTAGAGGAATCATGTAATTGTGTAAAAAAATCATACAATTCCATTTTAAAAAGTGAAGGTGACCTTCATATTTTTTTGACGCCTCCACCTAGAAAAAAACAACATAACCAAAATACGTCTTTGAAACCGTTACACTTTCGTTTGAAACATTTTTTTGTATCATCAGAAATAAGCAAAGTATTCAAGATGTTCGAATTAAGTAGACCACCCTTATATATGTAGATCTTCCTAGTATCCTTATATTTCATGATCCAACTTGTGTTAGATGTAAATAAACCATTAATTTTGAAATCCATCGTTTATTAGAAACAAAATGAATTCCTTTGCGTTTAAACGACCTATTTTATTATTTTTGGAAGGTTTCCCAAGCTTTCCTGGATAAATAAGCATTTTTTCATGAATGTACGGACTTTCAAAATGACAACTGTATAGGTTTTAAAAGTGTCCATTCAGGGTTAATTTTGGCCATTTTTACACTCTCTCCTTTATTGTATTCGTATGCTTGTGTTATGTAAATTTGTGGAAATTCCTTTTTTTTTATTTGTTGGTTCGTTGCAATTGGCGGGGGATTGGTGCTTCAGGGACTTAGCAATCCTTGCGATGGGGCGCAAAAGCAAATTCCTGTGTAGGGCGCAAAAGGCGATCGTAACGCCACCGATTATGATACAAATATTACTGTTTACTCCAAGAGCGAAGTCCCTTAAGGGCTCCAGCGTAAAAATCGAAATTGCTTGGAAACAGTAGCACATATAAAACAAGATTAGTAAAAAAGGTAACAAAGAGTCTATCTCTGGTTGTTAAAATTTCGAGTTTATTACAGTAAAAATATCATGAAACTCTTCCGTACGTTTCTATTCCATTTTTGAGTCATCTTCAGCAATACCGCAACAAAATATACAACATATTATAAATCGCAGTCAATATCCTAACCTTCGCATTTGTTACATATGTGCGATTATCATAATTTCGTGAGATCGTGAGTACGTTATCCATTACAGTTAGTTGGCTGAGTGGCGATAATAACTCAAGCTCACGAAACCAAGCAACTCGCAACAATCCGAATCCATTTAATACAATATTGCGAAATCCATTTAATACAATATAGCGAAAACACATCGCTATCTTTTGATTTTTAATTACACGATTAAAATAGATTATGGTAACCCAACCTAACCTATATTTTAACATAAAAAGTTATAACTCGGAAATGACTTACTTCCGGACTTGTGTTTATATAGCTTTTTTCTCTTCTTTCTAGGTCTCGAATTACGTCTCGAATTATGTCCCGAATTGAATTATTTAAGCATTAAAGATCCAGCTTCGATCATTACAGGCATTTGATTTCTAGTATTGATTGTGTTCCACATCCCTGTCTGCGCTATACGTAACAGAAACGTGTTATTTTGGTCGTAAAGTCGCAGAAAATATATAACGTCTCTTGCACATCGTAACGACGTGCGTAGACATGCTTTTTTGGTGGCAAAATCGCAGAAAATATGTAACATTTTTTGCACATCGCATAGACGTGCATAGAGAATATAATGTATAGTTGGCAAAATTGATTCTCGAAGAATCTATGGCGGTGTTTAGCGCGGATAAATATAGGAGTCAGATTGGATTGAGTTCACAAACGACAGTGTACAATTAAAAAGTAAGTAATTGTTTTTTATTCTTTTGTTATTATACTTTTTGTGTATAGTTTCTCTACGCATAATATTCTCTTTTTCCGCTATTTTCAAACTGAATAATACTAATCGATAGAAAATTTGTTGAGGATCCTATTTGCTACATTAACGGTTTTCAATATTTCGACATCAAAGACTTCATATATCATAGATACAGAAAATACAGACGTCATGATCATAGATGAAGCCTATTCGATAAAATATCAGGTTAAGCCTAACCATAAGCTAACTTAACCAGATAATGAAAAACGATAATGAAAAACCAGGTCTTAAGTCGCAAATAGGTGCTCAACACGTTGCATAAAGTCATAAATATTCGTCATTGCAATGTTGCTGTCACCAAAAATTTGACTGTAGTCACGTGTCGACGATGTGTCTATTATGTTTCAAGAAGTCGCTGCGACGTAACGTGTGACGAGTTGGCACGTCATAGAGACGTGTTTGTCACGTATTGTGCAGGCAGGGATGTACGGTCTAAAATAAGATTCTTATTGTATTATTATAGTTATATATAATACGATAAGATTCTTATGGTATTATTATGTTTATATTACGTCGCCTGAAAAAGAACGACACTGTTTCCACACATATACCGATTATTGCGAAGAATATTATTTACTAAAGCCTCAGTAGTATAAAGACTTAGAAGGATTGCACAGAATACAAGAGAACCGAGTTTGACTCCCGGCCGAGGTAATATTTTTCGCAATTTTATTTACAGTTTTTCAGCACATTAACATCTTTAATATTATTACAGTAATTTAATTACATTTATAAGTCCGAAAAACTAATTTTACGCGAAATTTAAATGACTATAAGTATGGTATGTAGGGTAAGGTTGCCGAAATCGCACCATTTTTCATATAATGGCTTATAACTCGGAAAGTAAGAAGGATATTCTCAATTTTTTTGCGGTGTAATAAGCTGCAAGCTTTTCCCTTTCATATGTAATTTTTTCAGGTTTTTTTTCTATTATTATAATATTTTAAATGAAGATTTTTTACATACTTGTAAATAGTGCGATTTTGGAAATACGTTGCCTAAATCGCAC